CGGTGCACGCTGCTGCCTGGCGGTGCGTGCTGCTGTGCGGCGCTGCCAGGCGGTGCCTGCTGCTGTGCGTGCTGCTGCCTATGACTGCGCCGCAGTGCGCTGCCGGATGGTGTGACCATAACATTACACCCCTCCCGGACTACGAACTTGTCCTCAAGCTCATATTCCGGATACATGGCTTGGGACTCTACGAATGGATCAAACGGCTGCACACTATTTCTCAGTCCACCAACAGTATGAACAACAGGGACTGCCCCGTATCTCAGTGCATAAAGTTGGATTATTTGATGCAGACCCCAGCCACCTTCTTTAGTTTCCAGCTCCCAGGCGTAACCATGGCTTACAGTGACTATACGATCTGCTGCACTCAGTCCAGCCGCAAGGACATTGAAGTATTCCCCACCTCCTGGGTCATATAGTTTGAAGTAGTTTTTTGGAAGATCCACATAACAAAAATCGCGTACTAGACCACGGCGCCGGTGTGCTTTGTCGTGGATCACAGGAACGCACCGGGTATACTTATAGAAGAGTACCTCAAGAGAAGCCTTACAGAAGCGAACCACGCGTTTTAAGCTTGAGAGGAAGTTACCTCTATATTGCGGAACATAGGGTTGTCTATGAACACAAAATCCATGCCATTAATATAAGCTTGAGAGGAAGTTACCTCTATATCCTGCCCCTCCACCTTACATCTCTTGCGCACTCCTGTTTCTTGGATTTCTRCATAGTTACCATACTGTGGTGCTGCAACCATAACTCTATGTCCACGCCGAGCCAAGGCCTTCGGTAAAGCCCCAGCAACATCGCCAAGCCCACCTGTCTTCGTCAAAGGAGCGCATTCTGCAGGTTCTATTATAATGTTCGTGACATTGTCCCCGGCCAAAGGAGGAGACTTTACGGTTTCATCCTCCGTGCGCTGATCCTTGGAAATAACTATGGCTGTAGGGGCAGTGATCTGTGGTTCTGCTAGCCTATGTTCCAGTTCGTTGATCTTGACTGATAGCTGCTCCATATCGCCCATGACGTTTGGCTCTGATACCAAATGTTATGGTCCCGCACGTAGGATCCCGTCATGGGTCGGTCCACGGTGCGAAAGCCCTGCTTTTCCTTGCACCTTCCCTTGCATGCAGACCCTATTGCGGCAATTGCGTGGGTGATTTGTCCAAGAGATCACCCGAACTCTCCTAATGGGTGATTTGTCCAAGAGATCACCCGAACTCTCCTTACTCTCTTTCTTGACTGCGAAAACTCCTAATTTCCTACTCAAACTAAAACTCATAACTCTTACTTAAGAAGATAAAATAAGATAAGGATAAGATAAGATAAGGGATAAGGGATAAGA